CGCGCGTTTAACGACTGTATTTGTTTACTCAAACAGCTAACTAAGGAATACCCCGAAATATTAACACCCGAGAATATCTGGATAATTGGGATTACTCAGGAGCCATCTACTCGGAAATATTACTTAGTTTTCTACCATGACATACACTCACTGTTGGACAGGTTTATGCGACTTAACAAAGGTGTTGCATGTATGCAATACACAGACTTTGATGATCTCAAAGAGTGGTTATGGAACAGTTTATACTGCCAAATATAAAGGAGAGGATATACCACAAACTGTTGTACTCAAACGGTTTAAGGGTTTTGATGAAATGCCGGAATTATTTATTTCTGAGGTAAGCAATTGTTGATGTTATTAATTAAAGTGATATTTAATTTGACTCTGTATTTATTTTATTTAATAGTTCAGAAATCATGCTAAGTGTGGTTATTCTTTCCTTCATATTTATGGAGTGACACAAGACTCAGAAACAAAAGAGTATATGATTGTTATGCAATATGCTAACAATGGTAGTCTTTTGTCTTATTTGGATCAAAAAGACAAATCTCGAATTACACTTTTCTGTGCAGTAAATTTTCTAGGAACGGAGAAGGTGAAGCTCAGTTTTATTCATCAACACCGTAGGCCTCGATCTAAATTACAATAATTTGCCAGCCAGTGTATTACTCCTGGAATAAGACAGCTTCGGCATCTTTAATAAAATCCTCCTTATACTTAACAATGATATAAAAAACCAAGGAAGAAAAATTCTGTTGTTAATTGATAATGTACCAGTGCATATCGTTCTTGAAGAAACCGCTGAAAAGCTGGACAGCATAAAGGAATTACTTCCACTGAATACAACTTTTCTTCAGCCCTGTGATGCTAGGATTGTTCATTCATTCAATGTAAATATAGGGCCCTATTTGTTCAGCGAATCAAAGCATATGATTATTTGCAAGATGATATTACAAGCACTCTTACTGCTTATACGATATATGATGCACTAATAAATACAGCAGAAGCATGGTCCAATGTCTCCCCACAAGCAATACAAAACTGTTGATTAAAAACTGGTATCCTTCTAGAACAAATGATGGTTGAGCCTTCAAGTATCCATGACGAGGAGGATGAGCAAGATTTAGAAATACTCCTTGAAAAGTTGCCGACCGAATAATAATATTTCAGCAAATGAATACGTACACATCGAAGATGAGAATGTCTGGATTAATCTTGCTGATGAAGATATAGTAGAAGCATTAAACCAAGATGAAGAACGAAGTTGAATTAGTGGAAAAGGTTGAGATAATAATTAAGAGTCCCGGGAAACTTAAATAGACGAATTGGATTAATTATTCAAAAAAGCTTAAACAACCTGACTTTCACCACTATTTTGAGGACAAAATTGTTGAGTAACTTTATTATAAAGGCTTTATTTGACAGTATTTTTATTAATTTGTCTACAAACAGTTGATAAGTTTTTATTCTATTTTCGATCTTGGATGTTGTTACATATCAATATACTTAAATAAACGTTGTTGTTAGATTTAGTACATAAGCGTATTACCGAATTTGTAGAATTACTATCACATGACACAACGTAGCTAAAATTCTCAGTTTGGTATGATAATATAGGCAGCGTCAACTGTACATCAAAATTGATATAAAGAGGTATATAATTATCTATCTATACAGTGACATCTTGTAACAAATTTGATACTTGCAAAACGACAGTAGAAATGCAATAATAATAACTTTAGCAATATTTCTGTGATAGTCAATAAGTTCGACACTTTTTCCCGACAGTTTTATACACTAGTTCAAGATGGTTGATGAATGCCGACCGTAGTGTCAACAAAACCCCTCTCAAATTACACGTTTTTCAACTTTATCCTCCTCCCCCAAAATGTACCGCATAACTCACTCTAGCTCTCTCCTATCTTCCTGTATTCTTTATTTCACCTCTCAACTATCCAGTATCTAAAACTGGTTAGTGAAAGTATTCTCCCCTTTTTTTCTTGGGCTAGATAGCAGAGTTTACAATTTCTAGCTGTGTGTAGCTTGGAAACAAGTCATACACTATTGGTCGTTTCGCTTATAAATACACGCATGGGTATGGTCCGTTAATTATACATAACTGTATAACAGAATGGAGTGTATATAGTTTCATGAAAGGTAATTGGAGAAGGTGTCCTACTTCGGTAGAGACACTTATTAATTGAAGAAAGTGCAAATACTGATTTAGAAAAAGATGCTCGTAAAACAACAATATGCATCGACATATCGTGCATCAAGTGATGATAATATTCCTGATGCGGAGATTGTAGTGCTTGTGACCAAAACATCAAATTTAAAATTGTAGAGATGTTGCACAACATGTTCATGCGCCTGGTTTCGTCTTTGCGCCAGGAATCGAAACGTCGAATCGATGGATCAATATCCTACAACTTAAAGTAGCAAAATGGTATGGTATTGAATCGAATATAGTTTGTTTGCCATCATAATCATACATTTATCCGCTCTCCATATTTGTAATAATAGATGGGTTTGTTTATCGTTATCTCTCTGTTTATGGTGTCACAAGGGGTTAATTACGTTACAAATGCAGTATCAACCTCCCACAAACTAAACTACTTATCAACAAAAACATTGTTAAACACGTGTATGCAATTTCTCTGTTGCTATTTTTAAATGGCTTCGTGAAGCATTTTCTAGTTACAAATTAAAAATTGTTGCCAGATAACTAATGTGCATATTCTTTTATCATTTTTAGTCAGTGTTTGCAACTAATAAGAAATAAAGGTAATGATTATAGCAATAGCGTTAACATAATCAACGTCTTCAGGTGTAAAGAGTATTTATTCTAACATTGTCGATAGAGCGTATCCTCGACTAATATCTAATCTACAGTTAATATGTTGAAGACACAGTGAGGGTATAGCAATAATCATCGATAATAAGGCCGATAAGTGTCACCTTTAAAGTATTATCTTTCAAGAATAGAGAAGATTTTATGATATATGGTTGGTCAATCGTCTATACGTTTGTTTATCTACAATTTTGGCAAGTTTTACCTATTCACAAAAAGTTGTGCAACATTAAGAGCAGAAATTGTACATTTCTATTTAAAATAGAGCATCACGACTATCTACACCAGGATATCGCATCAATTTCCGTTAACATGAAAATTCTCGCACTATTCCTTGCTCTCACTGCAATAGCCTTTACTTCGGCTACATCGACTCAGCTGCAAAGTAGATCTAACTTTACGTCTCTTGAAACAAGGAACCTTGGAAGCGGCAAACTTGCCTTTTTGACAGACGCTATTAGTAACGGTTGTGCCGATCCAGGCTATGATCCATGTCCAGATGGCAGTGGCTGTTGCCCTACAGGTTCGACATGCTTAGTCGACGGATGCGACATTGCCTGCACGAGTCAAGATATACCTTGCGGGTATGGTTGCTGTTTTTCCTATCAAACTTGCCTATCTGACTACACATGCAGTGGCTCTAGTGGCGGCTCTGGTGGCGGCTCTGGTAGTGGTGGTGGCAAAGGCGGCAATACAAAAAGTGTCGCTTCTAAAGCGCAGATGCAATTATCTACCAAGCTTCTGACAGTGACAATTGTTGTCCTAATTTATGTGTTCAGTTATATGTAACGTGGATATGTCTCTCACGCTTGCAGTGATGTCATTTTTTTATATACGGTTTTCATAGTGGCAGACTTGACAAAAGTGGTGGCTCGCTATGTAGAAGAAATTGTTTATTTGTTATTTTTATAATATTGTAATAAACTAATTAATAACAAACAATGCACAAAGTCAAAACTGTCTAACTTACCCAATACGATGAACAATAAGTTTCGAGTCAAGGTTAGGGTTAGGATGAAAACATAAACTTTTCGTCATCAAATTAGCCCGTAATATAGACATTTCCCTACTTCTAATTATTTCCCAATCTACTTTTGTATCAAGCTACGGATACCCGCTAAAGAATGATAAAATGGTGACAGAATTATTATATATATGACGCAGTAGGCATGTTATAAGTCACGTTGGCATGAACATATCACGTTGAAAGATCAGAATCGTGGTCGTGCAAAAAAAAAAAAAAAAAAGAGAATTCCTTAAATTTTCGTATTCTTTCTGAAATAATTATTTCCGGTTTTTGATCATACCATACATTGAGAAGAAAGATTCTTTTAAGTTCATCGATATTACGCCTTAAATTTAATATTTCAGCTTTAAGCTCATAAATCTCAATATCACGCTTAATATTTCAGCATCAGTATCTCTAATTCCTTGATTTGTTCTCGAGCTCGGATGTTATAATTAATAATATTTTGTACAAATGGAAATTATTCAATGTTATGTGACAACTGTAAAGACCCACTTTATTAATCACCGATAAAAAAAAACACAATTTACAAGACTGTTTTCATGCGTTATCCATTGTAATGGGATTTTTTTTTACAAAGTTAGTCACATTTCTCGAAATGTTAAAAAAAAAAATCAAACCGTGCTGAAAAGCGATCAGGTAATAAACACGCCACTTTAACTTTAGCAAACCAGAGAAAAATTATCAGTAATTATTCAAGTTGACGACGTTTAGGTCAAGAGCATAGTTTTCAAATATATATGAGAGTGTACGTTGCTTAACCTTTCCGATATTAAAAAATAAATTTTATCGAATTAATTATTAAAGTATGGGTAACACCAGTAAAGAAAGCAAAAAAAAATAAAATCTGTCGCTTGAAGATAAAATAAACATTACTAAGAGAAAAGAAACCGATGTAAAGTATATACGAAATATAATTCAACGCTTAGATGAGTCTGTAGAAAGACTAAACGCTCAAACTTCATTAACCGAATTTATTAACTAAATAAATTGCACGTTTTTAGATGAATACTTTATGCTATCCCCACCTCATCAAAAAGTCTCCGTCCCAAAGTGGGGATATAAACGAGTAACTTCCCTGAATTATTTTGGGTATGCGTAATTATAAATAAAAGGATATAATAATAAACGCAATTTAGATGGGTAAGTTATTAAAATCTTTTTCAAAGAAGCGCCTGTATAATATTCCTTTTACAAAGGCATCCGACGCTTTGAGCGACCAAACAAGAAACTTCTTTATGCGCAATAATCAGCGAGACAATTACAGTTATCAGATAGACCTTTGTCGAGAAAGAGAATAAAAGATGAAGAATACACATGTTACAGTGATAATGTGCACGGTTACCCATTTTATGAATCGATCACCTCTTCTTTGGCAATAATGAATGAAAGAATTCTAACTTGCCTTATCGTGATGACGTCTTTGTATCACCAGCGATATGCAATAGCACAAGAAAGTAGGGAATGCTTCTTCAGAACGATTAACGATGTCATCAGTCTTAGGGGCTCATGCAACAATCGACAGTCTGATTCAGTCCTCCCTCGAAAGTGAACATAAAT